GTCAGGGCTCCAGATTGGGGGTGAGGGTGCCAGGCTCTTCCAGTTCATCATGCAATGACATATTTTAAAAGCATAACTTAAGAGATTTAAAACAGATCATAAAAAGAAGACATTTCATTAAAAATGCAGGTGTTTGTAACAATAGTTATCCATTAAAAAATGAAATGGGCATTTTCTTGCCACAATTTTGAAGACAAAAACGGGGCCTTTATTAATAGATAAAAACATGTAAAAGAGTGGAAGGTGTAGAATAGTGCCATTACTCCCATCGTCGCTGTTATCACCACCAACTGCTAATGCCTTTGAATCTTACCAGAGGCTGCCATTAACAGAAGAAGGTGTGTAAAGATGGATTCTGTCACTTGTCATTTGCTGACTCAGAGATAGTATAAGAGCAGCGAAGTACACTGAGAAAAACATAAATGAAATTACTAATAATGTATTTTTAACAGTCAAGTTTATTTTTAATTTATAGATTACTTTAAGGCCAAAAGTAATTGTACTTTAGAGAATGACAATATAAAAGAAATTCATTTGATCAATTTCAATAGGCTGGATTATTTTTTAAGAACACAGATACTTTTGTGATGTTCACTATTTTATCTTTAGTTATGACTATAACCTAGAAGATCTTTTAATAAATTAAATAACTGACTCAAGGTCCTAAAACTAGTTTCTTTGCAGGTGTGATCAAGTTAAGATGAAGCCCTCAGAATGGACCGTAATCCAACATGACGGGTGACCTTAAAAGAAGAGACACAGGCACCGAGACGCTCAGAAAGCCTGCCATGTGACAACAGAGGCAGAGGCTGGAGTGACGAGTCTACAAGCCCAGGCATGGAACCGCCTCTCTCTTGGAGCCCTCCAAAAGGGAGCCAACCTTGCTGACACCCTGAGTTCAGACTCCTAGCTTCCAGAATGTGAGAGAATCAATTCCTGTTGTTTTAAGCCACCCAGTTTATTGTACTTCGCTATAGTGACCCCAGTAAACTGATGGAATACCCAGACTCTCTTCTATAGCTGATTAAAAGTATTTGGAAGATTATATTTTGGACTTTTTGAATTGATTATATTTGAAAGAAATTTTAGACTTAGAGTGATGCCGAAATGAGTTAAGACT